GACTACATTGGACTTCTGAAACTCAGGTTTTAGCTTTCATTATTTTGTGAACTTTGTATTCATGGAAGTAACTGATTATCCATTGTCGACTGACTACAGCAAGTATCATAGGTTAAGTATTTAGAATCTCATGAAAATGGGAACATTTTTTTTCTCTCTCAATATATTAGAATGGAGTCCATGGATTGTTAATCAAAATGACTAGAATGATGAGCGTGTCATTCATCATAAGTACTGTAATAGTTACAGCTATTTTGTAGAATATGCAAAGCATTAAAACATACAAACTATTAAGAAAACTACAATATTGTTTTGCAAAACCAAGGAAACAATTATTAACAAAGTACAAACGAGTTCTAATTTATTGTCCCCTTGCTTCATAGAGATAATGAGATAGAACAAAACTAACAAAAGAAGGAAACCATGATTTTTGTTTGATAGGTATAGCTTTTTAATACCAGCGACTTATTTTCCAGATGTTTGCTCACTAAGCAAAGCCGTACTTACAATAAGCCTCTGTTGCTCTTTAGCACACATATTTCCCAAAATTACTTTAAATATGCAATGCACAGCTTTAACCTTGCCTATGTTTCCTCAGGAATAAGCTGCAGAGAGTGCTAATTTAGCAATTACGAGGAAAGATTCAACTCATTGGTTTGTATTATGAAGCATGTTAATAGCTAGATTTTCACAGTGTGTTAACCCACTGCTAACTTATACAAATGTCATTTAAGGAAAACAAAGAAAGAACTTGATGCACTAGTTATAAAATATGCATTACTCTTAGTCCAGTAAATGTATAAGTATTACATAAGATACGCTTAGGGACTGGCTAGAGATGAAGAGTAAGACAAAGCTGGAATAGAGTCTACCATTTTGTCTGACTCTGGTGCCAAATTTGACATGGATGAGCTCTGAGAATACAGTTGAAGATAGTGGAAAAAGCTGACAAGATAATGGTATTGAGCTAGCACAGCTCACAGTATAATGGGCTGAGAGTCAATGAGGTGAGTATTTGATTGTATACAGTTTTTTTGGACGTCAGGGACAGGATCTTCTCTAAATGAGAAAGTGTCTATGAGCATCTTCAGATGTGCTGAGTTTAAGATTGTACTCAGAAAGGAAATGAACTATAGGATATGGTTACCACACAAATGAAAAACGTTTGTAGTTTCGTTGTCTGTATCTGACAACTGTTTGAAAATTATTTCAAACCAATTTACAACTTGGTGTGTATGGACAGATATTAATGCTTTAACTAGTGTAGAAAATGGTATATTCCAGATACACCATTGACTGTACAGAATTGGCTGATAAAAAAGGCATACTTTTTGTGACCTGTACTAATATATTTGTTCCTCATTCACTATATGTCAGCAATATTGTTCAGAAGGATGTAAGTCAAACTGCCAGCCCACAGGCTGGATGTGTCATGCCGAAACCACGCCCACTCCATTGCCAGCAATGGAAAAAAGTCACGATATGTCGCAACACATCAGTGACAATCCCCTGATGTAGGGATTGTAATGCAATTTCATCTTCATCATCATATGTTACTTAAGGGAAATTTTTTTTCTTTCCCTACTAAGAATTCTGTCCAATAGTTGGGTTTGTCAGGATCAAATGCTCCATTCTGGTTTTTGTTCTTTTTGCATAGAGGGGAAAAAAATCTTCTATTTATTTACTTTTACCCTTTTTTTTCCTCTTTAATAAGTGTTCAGTAGGGATAAAGTAAAGCTGCAATAACCAATATTACTTCCAGAGCCACAATTATTGCCAAATATTACTATTTGATTGATAAATAAGATTATTACTGATTGCAGTTTGGTGGTACCTGATTAGCCCTCACTGACACTCACAAAAAATGCCATCCACAAAAAAAATATTCAAAGGAAGTGTTGTAGTTGTTCAAAAGGAAAAGAATCCTAAATTTAAGACTCTTAAAAATCAGAAAAAAACCCTCATTTGCCACAATTACACAAAGTTTCATCCTATTCCTAACCCTAAGTTAATTCTAAATTAAATAAAGTAAATACATTATTATACATGTACTTCAGTTTTGTAAGTTTTATGACATTAATACACTTTGCAGAGCCTCTAATAGAAACTTTGTTTTTTTTAAAAAAAAAATCATTTCAATCCAACAGAAGTTTGAAAAGGAATTATGTAAAGAGGCTCAGGACTTTGTTGTCAGTCTGGGTGTCCATCAGCAGGATAGCTCTCCAAGACTGAAACTAAAAGGAGTCAAATTTGATATGATGGAAGAAACCAGCAAAAGAAATTTGGGGTTTAAAAGTGGTCTAGTTGTGAAAAAGAAAATAATTCCAGGAAAAAACATCCCCCAGTGAATTCTTATGGAAGATGCAATTGATTAGGGCTCAGAATGATATTAGAATTCTAAATTCCCTACCTTGCTTCTGGTCACATGCCCCAAAATGAAGTTTATGCAGTCCATCTGTTTTCATCTGCACATACAAGTGCAGATCAATTCAAGACAAGGGAGAGCATAAACATACCCATACATAAACACAGGTGCAACACATATCTCCCACACAGAACCAAATACAGACACTTTCTATAGCCTTTGCTGCAAATTGACCTGAAAAGAATTGTAGGAGCCGTGCTTGCATGCTTTCCTTAACTTGTTGATTCTGGGCAAGGAAGCAACTAACAACAAATTAACTTCCTGATTCTGAGCCGAGCATTCATTGGCACAGCTTGATTTTGGATGCTAGACTTGGTGGATCTTATAGGAGACTCTTCAGCCAGGAAATGTGTATCAGCTGCACTTCTGTAGCTTCAGCTAGATCTGTTCTCTCATTCCCTTACTTTCCTGATGTTGCAACACAACAAACAGGAACTGTCAGTCAAAAGCAGTCATTTGCCCTGAAAAAAAAAGCCAAAAGTTTCATCCCGCCACCTTTTGCTGGATACATGCAGTACTAGTTGGGCTGATGAAAGATTTATGGCTAGGTGTGCCATGGGAGACTCGGAAATTCTGGGAATCAGCAGCCTGGACTCCCTAATTTCACTATTGTGGTGTTCTAATCCTTTAGGGCAAATGGCTGTTCTGCTTTTAGATGTGATGGCCTCAATCTCAATTCTGTATTTTCTCTTTCTTCTTTTACACGAACTTGCTACCAGGTCAAGATGAAACTCCATAGTAGTGTTTCTCAGCTTTGGCAACTTTTAAGATGTGTGGATTTCACCTTCCAGAATTTCCCAAGAGTTGAAGTCCACATATTTTAATGATCAAGACTGAGAAACACTGCTCTGGGGTCATTGTACTGCCATTGGCATCCATCACCACCTGCATCAGCTTCCTCCTTCCAGCTTAGCAGGAAGGCAAGGGGACACGCCCTCTGATCTTCCTCCGTGTTTCTCTCCAGATCTACAGTAATGTCTTCGATCTAGACCTTTTCTTTCAATCATAAGTATTTCTTTTCAATTGAGAATAATTGCCAGGGCTGGTCAGGTTTACCTTTTTATTGTTTCACATTGTTTATTGTTTTATTGTTTCAACTTTCATTCTTGCATCTGTCTGGGCGCTGCTCTTCCCTAACTGAGGAAGCGCTAAGGAAATGTGTGGCATTGCTCTCCGCAGAGCCCACCAGGAGAGAGTGTGTGTGAGGGGGGGGGGGAGAAAAATGTGTGCAATGTCGTTTCGTCTTATCCTTGCTGTTTATGCTGACACAAACAGATTTACACGCGCGCACCCTCCACAGTGATCCGCCACCTCAGTTGCCATCGCGGGCGATATTCGCGATTATTCGAAGGAGCGAGAGGGAAGCAGCCACGAAGTGGGCGAGCGGAGGGAAGCGCTCAGTGGCGAGCATCGGAGGAGGGGTCCGTTGACAGAACACGCCCGATCCCCGCGGGCCATAAGGCGCCGCCGGTGAGTTAGGAGGCGGAGGAGAGACTAAGGGAATAAACCTGAAGCAGGTGTGAGGTGCTGGAGAATTGCCAACGTACAAGGTGTAGGCGGCGGTTCTTCCCTCAGAGTACAAAGCTTCTGCCCCGGGGATTTGGTGGGGGGGAGGGGGGAGAGAACTACGAGCGCGCAGTTGGCGATACTGCGAACAGGCTGTGCGCTTTCAGGCTCGGGGTCAAAACTGGAGGCGTAACCTAGGGGCGGATACAGCTGAACTGGGCTTGACAGAAGGGAAAAGTGAAAGGAGGACAAAGCGCAACAGCGCACAAGCTTGAGGCCAGGCTGTTAATGCCCGCGATCCATCGAGGTCGCGGTGGGGCGCACTGAGCTCTGAGTGGCTGGCAGGAGGCAGCGCATCCGTTGGTGAGAGCCAGACGGGCGCCAAAGATCTACAGGATGGCGAGAGTCTTGAAGACGCAGCATTAGAGCCGATCTTGCGCACTCTTAACCACGGAGGAAGCGGGGCTAAGGGGAAGAGACGGTCGGTTCCTTCAGGTAAAGGGCCGCTTTGACACCTTTGGAAAGCCGCGGGGAGATTGAGGTGCGAAGCTGCATACACCCCATAGCTGGCCAGGACTTTTTTCTGTGTGCACTGTGTGAGAAGCTATATTACACTAGGAGGGTGTAAGGGCCCACCAAAGGGCCACAGGGATGTCCTGAAATACCCGCGAGGAGTGACCGGCTGGCAGAGTAGGTGGGCGTGTTAGGATGACGGAAGTCAGCCAAGGCGAAATCTGGGAGCGGGTTACTCGAGTCTTCAGAGACGGGCGCTTCAAGCCGTGTCAGCCTCACTTCGCTTACCTGCTGCGCGAAGACCCTTGTTTCTTCGGAGGCGGTCAAATAGCGGAGCAGGAGAAGGCGGCTCCTCGTCGCCGGCTCACTCCTGCCCGCCTCCTCTTGCTTCGGCTTCGTGCGTCCGTCGGTCCCTCCCTCTGTCTCCAAGCCTCTCCACCCCTTTCTCGGTTTTCCACCCATTCACCCTTCGAGTGGATTTAGGGGCTTTGGTGAATGTGGATCCTTGTTTCGGGGGGGGGGGACGTGGGGGCGGGGAAGGGGTGGGGACTCGGAGCTTTGGAAATAGCGTCGGGTCCTCTCTTATTGCCACTGATTTGAGCTTCTTCTCCTTAGGCTGCAGGAAGGAACCGCTTGACATTTCTGTCAGCGTTCCCACCACCGCTGCCAGCCGCTTGGATCAGCGCAGGCAGAGGCGGCGTCCCATCGCCGAGGGGCTTTGGGACTGCAAGCCCCTGCCGCGTTAGCAGGGCGCACGAGGCGTCAGGTCAGTCGCGAGCGAGCGAGCGAGCAAGCGCCGGATCTGGGCACTGGGCGCGTCTCGAGCTCCCCGAGGGCAGAGCGGCCTCCCTTCGAGGGAATCACCAGGGTGGAAGGTCTTGCGCCCCTCCTTCCGCGTCTGGCGAGACGATCGGGAGGTGAAGAGGGCAAGAGGGAGGGGAGGAGAAGTTGGGGAAAAAGTCGCCTCTTGCCTTACCAACTGCTTTCCATTCTTCCTTCCGTGCTATAGGCAGGCGCCCTGCTGAGCCTTTTCCTGGGAGAGTTGTGCAACCGGCTTAGGAGAAAAAAGCGGTGAGGATTTCCGCGCATTTCGTCCATCTGTGCCGCTGGTGCGACTTCCTTGTTAGTTTTTTCGCTGTTGGCTCCCCCCCCCATGTTAACCTCTATTTGAACATGGCAAGGACAGTATCTCCTGGAAATGGATTCAGCGTGGGAAAAAGCTCAGGAAACCAGAGCTAAATGACAGGATGCGGGAGACTTAAGGAGATAGTCGAGAGAGAAAAAGAGAGAGAGAAAGGAGAGAGAGAGAGCGCCTACTGCAACCGACAAGACTTCTGGTGCTACTACTACAGTTGTTGTCAGCTGAATCAGTTTTCTGTTTCTTTTGAACTGCCCGTGCTGAAGAAGGATTTAAGATCTGAGAGGAACTGCGTGGAGAGATAGGATAATCTTGTTCCCTTTGTTCAGACCTGCTGTATCCAAAGCAGAAGATGGCCTGGGGTCTACTTTTGCACTGTGCAGCCCTCGTAGTTGCCCTTGGCAGAGCTTTGAAGAGTGGTAAGTGACTGAAGATCACTTTCAGGTGCATCCACTTTGCTATCTGCAAGTTGGAAGTCCCTTTGCCTGAGATGATAAGCCAACCACGAAACAGTTTTAACTGTATTGGCTAGCAGGAAAGGTTGATGGATATGCTGGGTATTCATTGAGAATTACATCTAATCAACACACTTAGTCTGTCAGCCCTTCCTTTTTGGCTCCATACTCTAATGCAATATGTAACACTGGGCTTACGGCTCTCACATAATAGCCAATCATTTTAATGTGTCCTTCCCTTGGCAGTTGCACAAGATTCTCCAGAAAAATTAAACAGATGAGTATTTCAATACCCAAGTATTGTTTCTGAGGAAGTGAAAACTAAGAGAGGTACGGGTATATAACTATAAACTATAAACCATCTTTGCTAACTATGCAGATAAAATTCCCCTCATTTGTACTTATGAAATGAAAAATGGCTTGTCAGTCAATGCAAGGAATATAAAGCATTCTCCGTCAGAGGGAATGGTTCTAAGAAAGAATTCCTTCAAATAGTCTTTGTATCTGGCCTTGAGGCAATGCTTGATAGCAGCAGCCTCAAAACAACAAGGGTTTCTGGCACAATAGTGGTCAGGCATCTGGAATATCTCATTATATTATACATTCTTTAAAATGTTCTTACTTTAGGAGCGGCTGGCATTTAACTTGCATGGATGGAGTGGGGAAATCACCTGGGTTTTTCCTCTCAGAACCAAGTCTGAGCAGTTATTAGCTAATTACTAAATATTAACTTCTCAGCTTGACTAGGATTTCAATCAAAGTAATTAAAAGAGGGACATCCTCCACTGTACTTTGGGTGGTATATTGTTTTAATAAGCGACTGCTTGTAGTGTGTGTGTCTTACAGGAACAGATTTAAATCACATCTTATGAGGGAAATTAATCTTTTTCCAATATGGTCTGAGGAAGTTAACTAATTTGATCAAAACAACTCAACAAGTTCCTTATCTGCTTTTTCAGAAACATTATAGTAGGATCTGGAAATCAGTTTGCAGGGAAGTATTTGTACGTTGGAAATCATGATTCAGTTTCAGTGATGTTTTGGAACTAGACCTTCTCTTTCAAACTCAAGTCTTCCTTTGCAGGGATTACAGGTTCAGGCTGTGCATCTTCAGTGATTCATAACTAGTACTGAATTTAACTGATATGTATAAATCAGAAGTGAATCATTAAAAGTGAGATGTACTAAATGCCTTCGTGCCATCAAGTAATGTTCTTGGATGAGCCAAATCTAGGAAGACACTACAATGCTACCATTCAGTCTGAGCAATTGGGAGCAAAATATTTTTAGCCCCACTGAAGTCATCGCAGTTCTTTGGATCTGCAACAATTCAACAGATCCACCAGTGCCAGATCTCCCTCTGCCCAATTCAAGTGTCTGCTAAATTAATTCATTAACTCTATTTAGAGCTAATGGTCCAAAGTCATTAGAAACTGCTTCTCTTAATCAAGTAAGAGAGAGATTTCACAGAGCCAGAGAGTCTTAACGGCCCACATTAGCTTATTATATTATCACTTTCCCAGGAGATAGCGATTAAAGTGTTATTGGTAGTTAGTCCACTAAATATTTCCTGGAGTGACTCTGTCAAGTAATTCACTGGTTTATTTCAGCCATTTCACAGATTTCAGATTCTGCCATGTTGTTTGCCTAGTATTAGAGAAGACTTAATGAAGCGGGATAGTTTTCTTACTAAGTGTGCTACAGATAGCAAATCATGCCAGATTGTCTCTCAGGTCACATGCAAAAAGGTTTGCAGAGGAATATCATTGGCTGCTCATTTTGAACTCCTAATGACAATATCTTTTGTTCTCAGGGAAGAAACAGGCTATGCAGACTGCCAAAACAAGGATAAATAGGAACATGCCACCAACTCAAAAATCATAATTTGTTGAAGGAAATAAACCATCTTGTTCTCTTCTAATTTATGGCAGATGTTTCCTATAATTGCTGTAGTTGATGCATTTTATGTACTCTTTTTTTCAAACTGACCCGGTTTTCTCTAATAAAATTCTGCACATCAATAATTCCATGTTAAGAACTATTGATAACCATTTTCGTATCACCAGATTTCTCTTAGAAGCAGGATTTCAACCTCTGTATGCCATTCCTGGGAAAATGTTATGCATTGCAAGCTGCATATGTTTGGTTCTGTGATGTTAGTGGGATATCGGTATCATTGCACTAGATTAGCAGTCCATAATTTTTAAAACTAATCAGCGCAGACTTACAAGCAACAGTGATATTATTGACACTAGACGTTCACGAGTTGTCTTTTCTTCCATCTTTATAATTTTGTAAATTGTAGTTAATCCTAACATAGAGTTGTGAGTCAGAACACTTTTACTCAAGAACAACTCATGAGATTTGGAGGACTGGGGAAGGCAAGAATTTTGTAATTGGAACTAAAGTTTGTTTTCTTTTCCTTTCTGCTTTGCTAACCCTTATCTGCTCCCCAAGCAGCATAGGTGGGGGAAACTTCCGTAATGGAGCTAAGTAAACCTTTACTGCTTTAACAATGTGCTTTGTTACTGGGTAGTCTGGACCTCTGGAGCACAGATAAGTTCAAATTGCTTAGATTTCTGATAAACCAGAAAGGAAGGGATGCTGTAAACAAGCCAGATTGTCTAATGACAAAGAACAGGCTCATTATCAGAAAGCTAACACTAAGGGCAGCCAGGCACAATGTCCCTTCAAGTTGCTCCTTGTGTAAAATTTGATATTTAATACCATTGTAGCTACATAATCTATAATTAAGGTATACTACTATTCGGCCCTGTTAGTATTTTCTATACTGTAGCTATTAAGTAACAAAAGCTTAATTTGGGTAAAAGATATTTGGTAAAGCTACCCAACTATTTTTAAAAAAATTATGACCTGAAAGAAGATGAAGTTGATTCAGCTGTTTATTTTCTTTACAGAGGGAAAAAAATCTATAAACAACTGCATAAATTGTTGTACAAGCTATGGGAAAGGAAATATATTAGCTTGAGTTGACTTGAGCTGAAGTACCCAAATGGCTTGTTATTTATAAGATGGATTAATCAAATGATATGATTTCTATATAATACATGAATTTTTTGTGTGTTTTAATTGCAGATCGATGTGGTGAAAACATAAAAATTTTAGAGCCTGGATATCTCACCTCTCCTGGCTATCCTAATAGTTATCATCCAAGTCAAAAATGTGAATGGTTGATTCAGGCTCCTCAACCTCACCAGAGGATTATGATCAACTTCAACCCACACTTTGATTTAGAGGACAGAGAATGCAAGTAAGTAAAACCGGTCTGTACGGGGAACCACAGCACCATCTAGTGGACAAAAGACATTCGTGATCTCTTCTTCAGGGGGTGGGGAGTTGAAACAGCTTATAAGTGTGACAGTATGTGTGCAAAATTCATTTCTTGGAGATGTGACTTCAGATTGGACCGTGTGTTTGTACTACCGATATAAAAGCAAGTGCACATTTCATACCATAGTAGGCACTGTCGTAGTTATAATCTTAGAATCCATCTGCTTATTTTGTTGAGATCTTGGACCAATTAGCAGTTATTTCTTCTGAAACTTGCAAAGTGAAAAAGGCAATTGCTCAAAAATGTTATAATTATGAAAAGAAAAACACAGTCTTGATGCTTTTTTAAAAAAAATGAGCTCACCTTATTGACTAATTGTAGTTCATTTTTTGTTCATTTGATGTCAGTGATCATATTTATAAGAGAGTGGAAGAAGCCTGTATTTCTGTATGTGTATTTTAGAGATTTCCCTTATTGTAATTAGAAAATATTGGTAAACGTTCAAGAAAAGTATATTGATTAACAACAATATTTTTCAATATGAATTGCTGAGTTAGCTGAGAATTTGACAATTATACTGATAAGTATATAGTTTATACAATGTAATGTATAAAATGCTTTATAGCACTAATATCTAATGAAAATTTAGTTGTGATTAAGGTGTTTCACTGGTTAGGTCACTCTTTATTACGGAGGCTCAGTAGGTGACTTTGGCTAGTATTTCAGTTTTCTTGTTGTGAAGAAAATTAATATAATCACACAGTTGCACTTTAGAGAAACAGCATAATATAAATGTAATAATAAATACATCAAGTGATCTAAAGTAGCATTAATTCTGAGATCAGTATGAAATAATTTATTTAAGCAATACTCTCACACCATCTGCTGAAAGTAGGCACTTTTCATTTTCAGTGTGGGAATATGTGTTCTTTATATAAAAATGTAGTCCATCAGAGAGGACTTGAGAACTAATTTGCCCTCTGGGTTTATATGTAAAAAGTGGTATTAGCTTCCAGATGTTGTTGGATGTTCCTAGCAGCCATAACCCACATAGTCAGTATAAGAGGTGCTAATATTGTAGTTGAGCAGAAATTGGAGGTTTTGCTCATAGAGGTTTTGTTAAAAATTGGAGGTTTTGCTCATAGAGGTTTTGTTAAAAATTATGTAGAATTCCATGTGTGAATACGCTCAAGTTCTTCCTGTAAGATAGAATATGACCCAATTGAAGCTGTGAGTCTTGGTAATCTTCAAAAGACCCTATGGCATAAATTAATAATACTTCCATTATGCAAATGGGATGAAAGATAAGCCAGACCCTTTTTCTGACTAGGGACTGTTTCTTTTGCTTTTGTTACAAAATTAGAGGAACAGATTCAAAATCATTGCTGGATAAAGTGATTAAATAAGGAAACAATTAGTATTAATTATCCTGCTATTAATAGCCTCACTTTTAGACAAAGTGAAGCTGTGGCCTCGAGGAGTAAATGCGTGTTCTGAAGGGACAGCTAACCATGTTGTCTTGTATTTTAAACAAGGGGAAGGGAAGAGATACCCTTTTTTGCATTGACCAATGCTTTGTGAGCTTCTTTATAATACACTCTGCTATACATGGGGCCACCCTTGACTTGGAAAATACAACTTATCCAGAATGCAGTTCTGTGACACATCACAATGTGCTCTGCATGTGACACCTATTCTCTGCAATCCACACCAGTTTTCAGAGAGTTTCCAGGTGAAATTAAAGATGCTGGTTGTCATTTATATCTACACAATGGCTCTTCTTTTCTCCAATTTTCTTTGTCCTGTAAGATGAGACAGGATGGGCATATTCCACATCTCTTCCATTAAAGAAGGGTTGAGGGTTCCCAGAGCTGTGCCTTTTCTGTTGCCACTCCTGGCATCTGGAATATCATTTTTCATAAGATAGAATGTAGAATTATAAGGCTGGAATGGGAGCTCAGAGATATTCAAGTCTAATCCCCTGCTCAAGGCAGGAAACCTTATAATAACCAGGTAAATTGGCCATCCAGTCTATTTTTTAAAATCTCCAGTGATGCAGCACCCACAACTCCAGGAGGTGAGCTATTCCACTAATTAATTGTTCTCACTGCCAGTGAATTTCTCCTTAGTTCTAGGTTGGATCTTTCTTTAATGATTTCCACCCATTACTTTTTGTCCTGCCCTCTGGTGCTTTGGAGAACAAATCAATCCCCCTTTCTCTGTGACAGTTCCTCAAGTATTGAAAGGCAGCTATCATGTTACCCCCAATTATACCTACTTTCTTTAAGTGTTCCTCATTTGGTTTAGTCTCCAGATTCCTTATCATTTTTGTTGCTCTTCACTGTACATTTTCTAGGATCTCAGCCTTTTTTGTATCATGATGACCAGAACTGGATGCAGTATTCCATGTGTGGCCTCATTAGTGGGGTATAAAACTGTATTATCACTTTTCGCGATCTAGATGCTATACCTTTGTTGATGTAGCCTAGGATTACATTGGCTTTTTTAGCAACTGCAGCATATTCCTGGGTCATCCACTGCTGGTTCATCCTTATGAAGATACCTAGATTCTCTCTCAATTACTACTGTTGAGCCAGGTACCACCTGTTCTATAACTTTGGTTTTTCCTGATCAAGAATGACTGGAAAACCTGGCTTTTTAAACAGAACATGAGCCAAGAAGTTTTGTGATCCTGCCAAGTGATGACTGATGAAGGCTGTTGATGGCCAAACTGATGTTTTATGTATTTCCTCATAGCATCGTTTCATTTTTATAGCTTCTGAATTCTGATTGTATGTTTCTATTGAGTTTTTAACATAAGGCACCTTGAGTCTTTTTGATTTGGTGGCATTTTAAGTGTAATAAATAAAGAACACTTGTGTGGGAGGAATACTCTATATAGGTTGCCTCTGGAAGCAAAATCTCTATGGCTGGCCCTAACTAATGAACAGATTGCATCGCCTGACACAGGTAAATGATTGAATGATTAGTGAGCAGGAACTGTAAAATAAGGCTACTTGTTTAGGGTATTTGGCAGGCAGGAGAGAAAACACCTTGATGATTTAGGGCTGATGGAAAGGAGCTTGAATCTGCCAAACAAATGGGACCAGAATTTCCGTCGTACGTCATTGCAGTTGTAAGTCAAGTCACCACAAGACTGGACCTGATTTTAATAACATTTTACAGCAATCATAAGTCACCATGGCCATTAAGCAAATCATGCAATCATTAAGTGAATCCAGCTTCCCCAGTGATGTTTTTTTTACTGGAAACCAGCGAAAAAGTCACAGATTGTGATAATGTAATCACAGGATGCTGTGACCAATCATACATATAAATCAGTTGATGGTTTCCAATGCAACACGAAGACTGTTGCAATGGGGATAAATGTGAATTAAAAGTCATATGTGGCTTTTTTGAAGGTTGACATAATTTCAAACTGTTGTTAAAATGAGCGGTCATAAAACGAGAACTACTTGTATGGATTTCTAAAGATCAATGGAGTCATAGCTGCTACATGTGACGATTGGGGAGATTTTAGAATGAGATTTTTAAAGAAATTTTTAAAGCCGCTCTTCTTTTTTCTGCAATTCAAAGAAGAAATATACATTAATGTAATATAAATAATTTAGTATTTATTTAGAAAAGCTGCTGGATGGCAGTGTAACAGTACAGTTAATGAGATGCTATATTATAGCACTATATGACCATCCTGCAGAGGTAAAAAGTTAACAAACTTGGCTTGGTCTAGGTGTATTGCACCCCTGGGCATAATGCATTTCTTCCTTTCTGCAGAATATTTGCTCCCTTTAGTGCATGTTTTGAAACCTAATTAGTGTCTTTTTTTTTTAACTCCACTCTAATTGGGCAGTTTTGTTGTCAGGCAAAGATAGGTAATTTTACAGCCAAAAGCTTTGTAAGCAGACCTACTTAAATCGGCCTTTCATTGTACAACTTAAATGCTTCCTGTGTTATTTTGTGTTCTGTTTTAGATACTGACCCTTTGACTTTCACATTACGACAATTAAACTCAATTGAAGAGATTTGTGTCAAAGGAGCAAATTTGTCAAAGCAGAAATTCTTCTCTTTCACGGGAAATTTTAAAAACTCTGTTCAAAACCGCAAAGAGCCTCACATTTTTCAGAAATTGCTATTTGTTTTGCCATATTCTAGGTAGTGAAATACTATATTAGTGCAGTTGTCAAAAAGTCTTGGGTTTTTAGCATTAAGCAACCTATTATTTTCCAATTCTAGGTTTTAGTTTATTAGCACAGCTGTATAGATAAAATATATAATATTGCAATCAAAGCAGTTGATGTTTTAGCTTCAAAAGCCCCACACTCTTACACATGAACATATATATATATATATATATATATATATATATATATATATATATATATATATATATATATAACCTCAAACCAGAGATAACAAATTACTGCTTTTGATGAAAGAAGTGCAAATAAGAGGTTCGTGTTTATTGTTAAATGTTAATTGCATTTGCCCCTTAATAACAGTTATGGAGACATTGGAAGGTGATAACAATTGTCACATTGAAGCTCTCTAAGAGCAGCTATAGCCCTGCCTGTGTCTGAACAAACAAACACAGGAGACAGCCCAACTGAGACTAAACAATTCTCTTGTTTTTATTACAGTCTGGCTTCAGTAACAATCAGGGTGTTGCTGCGTTTGCTGCTTCTGTTGTCTCCTTAATCATCTCACTTTATGCAATTCTGTTTTCCTCCCTTTAAGCTGCTTTCATGTCTCCAGGAATTTGTATCTGGATTTCTTTCTTTTTCACTAGCCTCGTTTGGGCCTAGCAGGCTTTCTGCAAGTCTCCCTTTATCTTTTATCTTTTTCTTGCTTCTTATCCAGCCTTTCTCCTTCTCCGCCCAGAGACGCCTAAGGCCTAATAGGCTGCAGTCCTTCTCTCAACAGTATCCTCTACATCTTCACTTTTATTTCTCTATGATGCC